GACCAAGATATCGCGTTCGAGCAATTCTCCAAGCAAACTCGAGGCTCGATTCTCGAATCCTCGAAGCTCACTTCGTGAGAAAGCATCATCCGCGATTCTCGAGAAAGACGCAGACGGGACGGTTGTTATCTGCCGTGTTTGGCTCGAATCGAATGATACGCATTTCTTTTTTTTTTTTTTTTTTTTTTTTTTTTTCTTACGGTGTATCGGTTGCGCGTGTATCTGGCTGTTCGTGCCTATTAATAAACGATTGCAAGTAGTTTCCTATATATACAGGCCGAAATAGGTACTACGTCTAATCTCACGATCGAACCGCGACGCAACGCAACGCAAAGTTCTAGAAGCTTCTACAACGCGTCTTGGTCGTTCTGCGAGACTCTGTCGATCGTCGATTCCGTGACCACCTACGTGATTTTTCAAGGACTTTCTGGCTACCCTGGCTGTCGAGTGCTGGAATTTTCGCAAACATGGAGTCTATCGCGAAGGCGGGGCGAAGTGTGGGCAGTGGTGTATATCGAGTGGCAGGTGCTTTCGCACGAGGAGCCAGACGAGTTTTGTCTTACGTGCCACTGTTGGGCGTCGCTGCGGCCCCACCGGAAGTCGAGGAGACCATCGAGTCTTCCGCGGTACGACACGGAATGCTTCTTCTCGCGTACAACTAGTGTTTCGATCCTCAATGTGCAAACGAGGAAGAAAACGAGAGCGGTGTTTGGCGATTGCCAGCAAAGGGGTAGTTCGTCGAATGTTTCCTTCGAACCTTCCGAACTGCTTCCGGTTTGCAGGATAACCGAAACGGAACGACGGCGCGTTTCCGGCTCAGATTAACCGTTTCCAGATGGCTACGCTTGCGGGAATTAATGGTTGTCACGTCCGTTCGAGACCCAGTTGGCTAATTTCGCATTGTTCGCCGGCTTATCGAGGCCGAGTCGTATCTGAACTGTTTCAGTGCCATGCAGCGCGATCGCGCTGTTCAGATTTCGTGTCGAAGCCACAGCGTTTACAGCGCCATATCGAAAGCTTCCTAATCACTTTCTTTTCAATGAAACCTACACCACGTGCATAAACAAGCAGTTTTTACTTTGTCTACTTTTACTTCCGTTGCTTGGCATTTTTTCGTAGTTACATCTATTTCCTATTCTAACATGGTTTTCTTTTTAAATAGCTCCTGACATTGGGAATGGTTATTTCATTTATGTCTATCGGCGTCGTAAGATTTATCGGTCGATACTTTTTTTTTTTTTTTTTAATGTAATTGCTCATTGTTCGAAGGTAAACCGACACCGACGACGCAAAATCGGTGGCATGGCGGCGCGTCGGTACGCAAAAATAGTCGTCGACGCGAGAGACGATCCCGAGACGAAGACGGTGAAAGCTCGCGAGATGCTTTCCTCGGCTCGCGAAGCTCAAGAGGAACGTCCCAACGTCGGCCACACGCACTCACTCACTCACTCGCTCACGCCGCACCAAACGAAAATAGCGTTGAAAAGACTGTACTCGGCGAGACTTTCGTTTCGCATTCCACGTGGGTGAACGCGTTTTAAGGTTTCGCGTATCGAATTTATAGTCTCGCTCGAGCGAAATGAACGCGATATATAACCGCCCCGTTAATCCACGCAAGACGACCGGGCGAATCGATGGAAAATTAATATACCCGGACGAATTAGCTCTCCGCGCCCGGTGAGAAATTCAATCGCGTTCTCGGCGTGACACGAGTTCAATTTACTTGGCCGATCGAAGCCGTTCTCGCGATTCATCGTTAGTTAACGACTGGTCAACTCTCTCGTCTCAACTCTCAAACGAGAAAATTCGATTTCCCGCTTCGTTTCGTGGATTTCCGCGGGAGAACTTCACACCGTCTCAGAAAGGTTTGCGTTATGTCGAAGCAACGCACGCCAGACGAGGTCGTTTACACACTTTAGGCTATCGTTACTATCGTGCCAGATGGCGATGTCGTCTCAAGACGAGACGATCGTATCGTGAATTTCCCTCCGCGCAAATCATCGGTCAAGATTTATGTTTCATCTCAGATCCTTAAAAGTTATTAAGGATATTTCAATCGTGATTCTAGCGTGCGCAAATGTTATAATAATAATTAGGCCTACTTGTACAGCCTTGTTGATTTGCCTTGGTGCGGATATTAAATGCATCTTTCCTCTCGTCGGCTCCGTTTACATGCCAAGACCGATATTACTGTCGGATACGCTCCGGTGAACCGGATAAATACCGCTGTCGTAATTCAATTCTAAGGAAGGTCGGTAAATAGTTAAGAAAAAAAATAAAAAAGGAAGAAAATAAAGAAAAAAAAGGAGAGAAAGAAACATGAGAGTGAAGAGAAACGGTTTGTCTATTAGAGATCGAACGAAAGAACGCTGCGTGATGTACGTGTTTAACTTGGGTACAATGAGTAATCGGCGGCAGAGAGTTTCGCGAGAGAAAGACGCATCGCACACCGATCTTTTTACGAACGTGTTCGAGAGCCTTTGTTGCCTAAGTCACGCTGCTGAAAACCCGTAACGCACCGTTTCCGACGCGTTAACAACGACACGTGTTACGTTTTCATTTAATTTCTTTCTCTTTTCTCTTCTTTTCCTCGCGAGCAAAAAACGCGCGGAGTTCCTCGTGAAAAAGGAAAAGCGCGCATCCATCGAATTGGGGGAGGAAGTAATTAATAAACAGGCATAAACACGCAATAACCGCGCGATATGATCGCGTTCATGAGCACGGGGTCGAAAAGCTGTATTTCCGATCGCTATCGTCTCGTGAATTTATGCGACCAACGGATCTAACATCTCGGCAACGTGGACCAGCCGACAGTTGTTGCAACGAGTAACACGTGTCCGTGCCACGCGTCACCCTATTTAATGTTCTTTCCCTTTTTTCTTTTTTTTTTTTTTTTTTTTTTTTT